CCCCCACAAAGCATTTTGATTTGTCTTTTTCCGTCGGAGCTGCCTCCGAATAGATACCTCGAGATACTTGATAAAATCAGAAGTGTTGGGCAGCGCGGAGTGACAATAACCATACGTTGGACGTGTTCAAAAGCGTGTCCTTGAGCAAGACATGTTTGTCATACTTCAGAAAAAGCCCGCTGACCTGTACTCACCAGTAAACACAAATGCCAGACAGACACATACGACAAAAGGCAACATCAAAACAGAAAAAGATGACGTCCATAAGAAAAGCCAATGCAAATTTACAAAATGAAATGTCTAAGGAGTACCATATTTCATAATGCAATATATAAATTATGAATATGGGTCACAAATGAACGAGTTTTAAAAAGAATTGCAGCTTTCGAAATGAAATGTCAAAGAAAAATAAATGTAAGAATATCATGGACACAGAAAATAAAGTATGAAGGAGTACTAAGTGAAACAGGTTAACAAACACCAACACTCCTCAAGAAAGGTATAGAGACTAAAGCTGAACTACTTTGGACATACTAAAAGACATAAGTCACTGAGAGAAAACTATTCAGGAAGCAAAGCATACAGGCCAGAGAGGAGGGGGAAGTCCTAAAACAAGATTACAACAGGAAATAGAAATCTGGCTTGGAACCAAAACTACACGAGCAGGCAGAATGTTTTGTTGTAGGAAGGTGAGACAGATAACGTCCATAGACACAGGGTGTTTTGTTGTGGAGAGGTGAGAGACAGAGAGTTTTGTTTTGGAAAGGTGAGAGACAGAGAGTTTTGTTTTAGAAAGGTGAGAGACAGAGAGTTTTGATTTAGAAAGGTGAGAGACAGAGAGTTTTGTTGTAGAAAGGTGAGAGACAGAGAGTTTTGATTTAGAAAGGTGAGAGACAGAGAGTTTTGTTGTAGAAAGGTGAAAGACAGAGAGTTTTGTTGTACAGAGGTGAGAGACAGAGTGTTTTGTTGTACAGAGGTGAGAGACAGGGTGTTTTGTTGTAGAAAGGTGAGAGACAGAGAGTTTTGTTGCGCAGAGGTGAGAGACAGAGAGTTTTGTTGTGGAGAGGTGAGAGACAGAAAGTTTTGTTGTACAGAGGTGAGAGACAGAGAGTTTTGTTGTATAAAGGTGAGACACAGAGTGTTTTGTTGTACAGAGGTGAGAGACAGAGAGTTTTGTAGTACAGAGGTGAGAGGGGCAACGCCCAAGACAAATTTTTCTCTGCGAGATGAATAAAGATTCTCACTGTCATTGTCAGAGGCACACAGTGTTTGGTTGTGGGAAGGTGAAAGAACCAGCTGATAACTGACACTATCAGCAGGTAGGCCCTTTCATGGATCCTGGAGAGGAGGAAGGAGCAGCTATGACATTGTGCCGCCTGCAGTGATGCCTATTCTCCAACCAAGTCAGTAAGTAAGTAAGGTGAGAGAAGCAATGTCCAGAGACAGAGTGCTTTGTCGTGGGAAGGTTACAGAGACAGAATGCTTTGTCGTGGGGAGGTTACAGAGACAGAGTGCTTTGTCGTGGGAAGGTTACAGAGACAGAGTGCTTTGTCGTGGGAAGGTTACAGAGACAGAGTGCTTTGTCGTGGGAAGGTTACAGAGACAACGTCCAGCGACTGGACAAGCCAAGGAGGAGAAGAAGAACGTACCTGGTACCGGCCAGACATCATCTGACTGCGGGAGGGTGTACACAGAGGCTGGACGTAATAGTTCTCTAGTCTCACGCCGTCGGACGCCAGCTGAGGAGGGAGGAACGTCACAAGGGTTGTTGAACGCGCACACCGTCATTGTTCATTAACTAATTAAGGATCATTGTTCATTAACTCATTAAGGATCATTGTTCATTAGCTCATTAAGGATCATTGTTCATTAACTCATTAAGGATCATTGTTCATTAGCTCATTAAGGATCATTGTTCATTAACTCATTAAGGATCATTGTTCATTAG